CTATTTTCTCCTCTTCATGAAAGGGATCCGATCTTTTTGACCAAAACACTTACGCTAGACTCATTTTTGTCGGAACTAAAACCAATTCGCTTGAGTTCTAGTATCAATTTAGTTGTTTAGAACCTTTTCTTTCCAGTATTTTCCCTGGGTTTCTCTTCTCTTCCAGTCTTCTCAAGGCCGGAATCGCTAAAATACTTTGTTCATCCCCTTCTACCTCACCTTCAAATTTCTCTCTCAAACGCTCATACACTCCACGAACCATCTCTTGTTCGGTCTGGAGTTACTCACTTCCCCTCTTTCCGTTTTTTGACAATTCCTTCTCTTGTTTTTCCTAAATTCTGAATAGAGCGTCGGAGAGCCGTCATAAACACCTCCAATCGTGTTTTCAGGGACTTCACGTGTTTGTTAATTGCACAAAAACAAGTTCTTCTAGTGGTTATTTAAAAAGATAAGAAATCTCCTAAAGAACTAGATAGTTGAACCACGAAAAACATAATACTTTATTAAAAAAATATTGTTTGAGTCAATATTTTTTTTTCCATTCATCCGGTAACTTGATATTACTCTTTTATCACTCTACAACAATTGCTACCTAATTTGGCATAATATAATAAAGGTTAGGTACATAATTCGTAAACAAAAAAAGACTCTAGTTAATTCTTTTCGTTACTCTATTTCCGTCTATTGGATGGAATACCAACTTAAACTATGGTCTGGAACACCAACTTCATCTCTTGTAATCTAGATGATAAGCACTTGATGTCCTCTTGAATCAGTCTTAGAGATGGCCATATTACCTCTCCTGCTACTGCTTCTATGAGTTTTTTGGAATTAGACTCATATACTACTTTGTTATATCCCAAAGCATTTGTTGTGAGAATAGCTCATCTCAAAGCTTTTGCTTACGTCTCCAACATCAACCACATTCCCAGAACAACTTTAGCTCCCAACCATCAAACTTCTCCTTGATGGTCTCTTAGATTTCAATCCAAACCTAATATAAGCTCAGAATTTACCTTGCTTATTGGTCACACGGTTTTAAAGGCCTACGACTTGAGTGAACTGAAGTTCGCCACAAAGGATTACATTGAACACAAGTGACACGCTCTAGTTTTAGCTTCACTAAAAAGCGAAGATCCAATTAGACGCTTAAATATACAGTTTTAAACTAAAGCA